ACAAGTAGCGCACCTAGAATAGTACCCATCGTGGGGTTTCACTCAATAAATGTTGGCTGCTATTATCCTATAGAAGCTTCCAGAGCTGCGACAGGGTGTTTTCCTGCAAAATAAAAAGAGGTCATTTCTCATTCAAAGAACAAGGCAATAGGTAGAATCTTCCTTAAGTTTTAAGTTAAACTTACCTCGTCATAAAACGTATGTTCACAATGAAATGGGAGGTAACCCAACTAAGCGTCCAGTTGGTGGAACTCACAGAGATTCTTGTACAGGTGACATCAGGGGTTCCCGGCCTTCTTTACCTGTCATCGTTCCTGCTAAACCCAGCCCGCCTGGGAAGAAGCTAACACTTGCGGGCTGCTCTGATGTTCACAGGACTCAGATGGAAGAAATCACCTTTCTGGGAGAGAAGGTGGTTGGCACCAGGAGTTCCCCAAATCCATCCTGTGGACTTGAGCCCACAGGTGCATGTCATTCATCGGGGCTGTTTGGGGGTGGCCTGTCTGGGGGAGGCCTGTCTGGATTTGTTCTCAAGTTCAAGTCAGAGACTCTCCGAAAGGACTATACAGTCTGACATAGTATAGAGTCTAACCCGTAGCAGTTCCCAGGAAATTTACTTTAAAGACCAGGTGGGAATCATTTCTAATTAGCATATTCATGATTTGGATGTTGACGGTTGCTTTAAAAGTACTTTGTGTTCAAATAGCTGTTGTTTCAGAATCAGACTTTCCCTCCTAGTTGTAATTCTGGGCTAACTGCCACTTCTGATGGAGATGGGGTGGACCTTGTGTTTACCTTTTCACACCTTTTGTATGAATGAAACCTGAAGGAAAGAGTTGGGTGTCCACTGGCGGCCCATCACGGAAGATTTCAGTTTTATTTATTTTAGCACTGTGGGGGAAATATTTTTTCTTATGCGCTCCTGTGATGAATGAGGCATCACATCTGTACAGCAGCCAGATGAGGGGGAAGCCAGGCGATGGTGGTGGCCGTGCAGAGGTTTGCCCTGCAGGAGCATCCAACAGACTCGCAGATGAATCCCGCCTGGTCGCCAGAGCACCGCCTGGGACCATTTCAGGCGACCGGCTTGCGAATATCTGCGCCGCAGAGAACCGAAGTAAAGGCCAGGGAGGCTTCTGTGCATGCTCTTTAGAACCGCTTCCTGCGTGGCATGTGAGTTTTTTCTCCCAGTGATTTTTCTAAGTTGTCGTCATAGACACTATGTCACTTTTCATATAATCCTTGGAGACCTGAAACACTGTGCTCTTCTGATTCTGGGAGGGGGGAAATTGGGGTGGAGAGAGCCTCGAGTCCATCGTGATGTGACCCCTGGGAATTCAGCTCCACACTCTTGCCTAATTCTCAGTTATGAATGTGGACCACAGATGTCACTCTGGAATGCAACTTAGACTTCTTTCCTGAAGGAAGCTCTGGGGAGCAATCGCTTACACTAGCAGTGGCTTTCTCTCAGAACCAACCCAGAGCTTGCTTAATGCACTGTGTTTGGCTTTTCCCTCTCTTCTTAGGGGATCGATCATATCAGGACAAGCCACGCTGCAGTTTAAGAGTTTAACTCTTAGCATCGAGTATGCCATCTGGCAACATGAGTGTCCCCTCCCAGTCTCCTCTGTGGACCCCCATTCCCTCTCCTGCTCCCTAAACACGGATATTCCCAAGCGGAGTTCCAACCACAGCACTGTACTCCTCCCATTCCCCCGGGAGGTCCCCTCTTCTCAGTGCATGTTACGGGCTAGGCATAGTCAGGGGTGATGTCCACGTTGTATTCGTTTCCTAAGGTGGTTGTAACAAATACAGTAAGCTGGGGGGTTTAGAACAACAGACATTTATTCCGTCACAGTCCAAAATCAAGGTGTGGGTTCCTTCTGGAGACTCCTGAGGGGTGCGTGCTCCATGCCTCTTTCCTCGCTTCTGGTGGTGGCTGGCAATCCTTGGCGATTTTTGGCTTGCAGGTGCATCCTCTGGTCGCTGCTTCCATCTTCAGGTGTGTGTATCTAAATTTTCTCTTAAGGACTCCTAATTAAGAATGGAGCTGCTTCGGTTGAAAAGGGGTCAGGCCTGTATTTCCCCCTTACCGTATTTCCACCTGTGAACGTGCCTAAAGCCCTCGGCAGAACGTTAGGCAAGTTACTTATTTAACACGGTCTTCTAGCTCTAAATAAGAAAGTGCTTACAGCTTCCCAGGTACATAGGTATTCACCCGATTTTATAAGTGTTTCCAAGGAAGATCCTCGCGGCTCCCCTCCACCCTCCTTTTCCAGTATGGAGCAGGCTTCGCAGCAGGCAGGGTGCTGTGCTTCACCCGCAATCTAAACAGCCCTGCGCTGCTTAGCTTCTCCTGCCCTGGGATGGTTGTCGTGGGGCCTTGGATGTCCTTCCTGTTAGAAGACCCTACATCTTCTGATGAGAAGAATCAGTCTGGTTTCCTTCAGAGAGAGGGTTGAGCTTTAACTCCTGGAATTGTGCCTACCGCCCACACCCCCAACAAAATTTATGGGTTAGGATGTGAGTCCTTCCTTTCCAACATTCCAAGAGGGGAAAAGAAAGACAAATACAGGCCATGAGGAACGGGTAAGACCCCTGGCCACAGGGCCTCCGAAGGGCAGAGCCAGAGCTGGGCTCCTGGGCCCCCCATAGCTCTGCATTTACCCAGAGACAAGAATAGGGTCCTTGAAGTTTAATTAAAAACAGGATGTCCCTGCTGGGCCTCTCATTGATGTTGCTAAAAATAAAGCAGGGAAATAGCCTGGCCTCCTCTGGTTTAATCCCATTAAGTTTGGGGGTTGGGGGTAGGGGTGGAATTGGAGCTAATAAAAGGCATGATTTGTTTCAGATTGCTGTCTGGAGTTGTCTTTTCCCTCCCCGTGCTGTGGAGTCCTAGATTTGGAAGTTCTAATGCAATCAGCTCTGGGTTGTTGATGCCGTGGGAAGGGAGTAAAGGGACGCCCTGTTCCTTAACTGTGATTCTGCCAGGCTGTCATCCACTTACTCACTCTGGGGACCCCTGGGACTCATCACCTCAGCTCTTTGCTCACTGCTCCAGGACCCACGTCATCGTAGAGCTGGTTTTGTGTAGTTCCTGTCTGTGGGTTGATGCACATGAGAGTCATCTGTGAGTGTGAGCCCCCCAAGGAAGCACTCGCTTCCCTCTCAGCCCCGCGGTGTCCTCGGACATCAGCCTCGCGCTCCTTGCCAGAGCCCCATTTGCAACATATATTCAAGTAAGGACATCTGACTTTCTTTGTTGTTTTGTTTTGTTTTGTTTCGCATTAACCTGTCCTCATTTCTCTGTCTCAACCCCACTCCTTTCGCCTCGTCAGGAAAGACTCCAACTCTCAGAGACTTTCTGTTGAGTGTAAGAGCCTCGTTCTCTAACACAAGTTCAGCTGTTTCCTTGGTCTTTCACTCATTTGTTCAACCACGAGTTTTAGGGAATCATCTCTAGATTGTTACACAGCTGACTTCCCATCAGAATCCCCTTATCATCATTTTATGAGCCCCAACTCTTAGAGGCTTAGAGTTACAAGGACGGCTTCAGGCCGGTGGGTTTTACTCACCACCATGGGGCCCAGACACAGTGTAGGTGAGCACTTTCGTAACGGTTATTAAGACACTACTGGAACCACCCTGCCCACCTCTGTGGTGCTCCTAAAATAGGAGCGCTCCTGGTCTTCAATTTGGTGGCTCCCAAACCCCGTGCCAGGGGACTGGTGAGATGTAAAATAAGAAAGAGCCTATTAGCCTTGTTGATCATTGAATCCCCATCACCTAGCACATAGTAGATACTCAATAAATCATTGTTAAATTAGGAATAATCATTTTTAGTTCTCTCAACGCCATTGCCTGCAAATAAGGGAATAGAGGTGGATTTGGGAGGTAGGTGTAGATAGAAATTTCAAATTTATTAGCAGTTCCATCTTTTTGTTGTTCATTAGAGAAATACAAATACCTTAACATGGTCTGTCTCACCCACGCTGGAGCCACACCTTGGCCACACTCCCCTGCACGCTCTCTCGGCCTTCTTACCGTTCCTCCTACCTCGGGTGTCTGTCTACATATGTTTCCCCCTGTCCTTACCTCTTTAAGCTCCGCGTTCCCTTCACCTCTTTGCTCAGCCATCACTCCTCAGGGCAGCGTCTGAGAGCTGAGGCCCTGCGCGAGCTCCATGGCAGGGGTGGGAGGTGCACAAGTGTTGAGGGGGATAGTCTCAGCCCTGCTTACAAAACTCTTTCCGTAGAACCCTCTTTTGCTCATCAGGTTTCAGATGCACCCAGTTTATCTCAAGCCGGAGGCTGCATAATTATTTAATCCAAAACTTGGACGGCAGATTGTTAGATTGTTTCCATTTGGGGGATATTTGGGAGCTTGCTGAGAAGGAATGCGAGACCAGACGATTGCCCATACAAGGGGAAGAGCGTTGGATGGACGGGTGACGTCTGCCTGGGAGAACAGCAGAGCACACACTTGCAGACTGTCAGGTGTTTGTCACCCTGAAGGACCTCGCTGGAGACCAGGGCAGACACCAGCCTGTCCCTCTGGCCTGAGGAATGCCATCTGCAGTCTTCTCCTAGAAGTGGGGTCCTCAGAACAGCAGCATCCGCATCACATGGGAGATTGTTAGAAATGCAGAGCCTCGGGCCCCCATCTCCCAGCCCACCCTCCTCAGTCAGATCTGCATTTTCACAAGTCCCAGGGCATTTGTATGCACGTGGAAGTGTGATGCACAGGGTCCATGGGTCTTCCCGCCAGGTGTCACTCCCAAAGGTTCTCAGGGCTGGAGCGAGCTCTGTGGCCTGGCTTCTCCCCTCAGGGACTGTGCATCTGTTTTCCACAGCAGGTCAGCGGGCACAGGGCTGGCCCCGGGGTGACAGGAGGACTTCCCTTCCCTTCCCCCACGTGTTCGGGAGGTTTGATGACAGGGCTGCCGTGTGTCAATCCCAACTTACGTTTCTGCCTTCCCACTGTGCTGTCTCTGTCCCCAGGCCATCTATAAGATGGTTTCCTCCGTGATGAAAATGCCTGAGGATGAGTCAACCCCAGAGAAAAGAACCGAGAAGATCTTCCGCCAAATGGACACCAACAGAGATGGTAGGAGGCCGAGGCTGCTTTGCTCTGCTCGGAGTTGGGGCTGCTGGAGGGGCTGGAGGCCTTCAGGCAGGGAAATGCTGCTGGAGGACAAGATATGGGCCGCAGGACCTGGCTCATGGCCCTTTCTTTGTGAAAGTGGCTCATCCTGCCTGCTCCCTGGCCATGCAGGACAGAGGAGGACCAGGGTGGGGACAGACCCAGGCCGTAGCAGGCTGGGTCCCTGCAGGGAGGGGCTTGGTGTCATTCTACCTGTACCCCAGGAGCTTTCACTTCAGCTGGCCAGGGGCTTAGTGGGCTCCCCTATGCATGCTCTGTGTTGGGTTTCCTGGAGCCAAGTGGGTTCCCACAGCCAGCAGGTGGGTTCGGGTGAGAAGGAAGGGAGGTGGCCAGCAGGTTCCATCCCGAGGGTGCCCCTCACAATTCAAACCCAACAAGGGGACGCAAAAGCAAACCAAAGTGAAAAGGTAGGTTGGATTATCAAACTCCACAAGAGAAGATTTTAGGTGTTGGGTTGCAGGATAGATACAGGCGGCCCAACCAACTTTGAATTTTGGATAAACAACACATGATTTTTTTCATACAAGTAGGCCCTATACAATATTTGGAACATTTTTACATGGGGGAAAAAGTGTTGTTTATTTGAAATCCAAAGTTAACGGGGCATCCTGTATTTTATTTGCCAAATCTGGTGACCCTACCTAGAGGTAATGCCTGGGTTTAAAGGGCTAAGTCCCGAGCCTGGGCCAGAATGAGCTGGAGTCACCTGTAGCTCTTGCTGTTACCACCGGCTCCCCTGCTCTGCTGGATGTCCCCTGCAATTCTCGTCAGCGGTGAGCTGATGGACAGACCGACAGAAGGCTGTGCGGAGGAGCCAGCCTCTCTTCCTAACCCCACACCTGCTGGGGCACCGGTGCCTGAGAATCGGGGTTTGCGGGACGCAGGCCAATCTGCTTGCTTTGTTCCCTCCACAAAAAACGCCATGACATCCAGGGACATCTTATTGTCCCCCAGGCACCTGATTCACAGCAAACAGCTTGGTTGTTTTTGCAAAATCTAAACCACCATGGGATTATTTTAATAGTTAATGAACTTGCTGATGTTAAACTGCACGTTTGCTCGGGCCCCAGGGAGCACAGGTGGGCTTGTGTCCTGCCCCAGGCCCAGCCACCTCTTTAGAGTGGGGCTCGAGGAGGGCAGAAGACCCAGATAGCAGGATAAAGTCCCCTCTGCGTGTTGATTGCAGGTGGGCACTGGCTGCCCTGGGGGCTCACTGTGGGTCACAGAGCACCAGGACACTTACTACAGCTCAGAGCTTTGCTTCTGGACCCAAGGCCGAGTCCAGCCCTGCCTGGGGCAGAGGCCCAGCCAGAGTCTCCTGCAGTTAGATTCCTCTTGGTAGGAGCTCTTTGCATCTAACCCCTGGGCCTACAGGCAGGTTAGCCTGCGACACCTCCGAGGCACCAGGTGGTGACAGAGACCTGCGTGTGTACCTGGAAGGCAGGGCTGGCTCTGCCACCTCTTCCTTGGGGGATCCACTCCCACCTCAAGGGACCACTCCCACCTTCTTTCTCTCCCACCAGCCTTCACACCCGAGGAGGCTGCCCCCGTTTCAACCACTGCGCGAGCCCGGGCATAGCTCCCAAACACGTCCAGGACACAGAGCTTAGAGGGGGCCTGCTCTACACTTTGAAAGTAAATAGACAGATAAATCCCCGCCTTTCCCCTTCATGTGGATTAGGTGGCTGTGGCTGACCAAGAACTGGGACCTGGGGGAGGGGCTGTGGCTCAGGGGAAGGCGTATTTTGCTGGGCTGGAGGTTGCGGGCTCCAGCGGACGGCACCCCTCCTGCCTGGAATTGGAATTAGGTGAGAAATAAAGAGCAATAATAAAGGTGAGAGGGCCGAGCTTCATGGAAGGACCAAGCCCACGGCAGCAGGGAGCAGGCAGCCTGACACCAGTCCGTGGAGGGCAGCGGGGGCAAGTCCTGCCAAGAGAAGGAAGAGGGCAGAGCTGGGCAGAAGGCGCAGCAGCTCCTCCGGGAGGAGCCCTTCTGGAAGCGCCAGGAATGGGGGAGAAGCTTTGCCTCCCCCCACAGCCTGACAGAGGGGCCTTCTGGAAGCCACCGGGGTAGGAGCGAGATCCGGGTGGCCGAGTTGTTCTCCAGCCAGCAGGGTGGGAGGAAAGCGCCTGGACGACGGGAGGGTCCCCGGGCACCCCTCTGCCTTGCACCCCCCTTTATTTTCCTCACCTCGGATGGAGGTGCGCTGTCCAAAAGGGGCCTCCCTCAGGTATCAGCGCGGCCCCTCTGCCCACCCGAGGGACCTGAAGGAGCCCAGCGGCTCCCAGTGACATGGGGGGCATGGCCTTGGTGCCCGGAGCGCCCAGCTCAGTCTCATGAAGACTTGGGACCGTTCCTCCCACACATGCTGCGTGAGCCCTGCAGCTGGAGAGGCCAGGACAGCGGGCGCGTCAGGGCCACCCCCGCCCAGGGCAGCACGCAGGGGGCCCTGCCCTCGGGGGGACGCGTGCCCAGCATGGCGCTGGAGGAGAGGGTGGGCCTCGCGGCGGGTGTTGGGCCACACCGCAGGGACAAGGGGAGCCAGCGCCGCCCCCGGGGTGCGGTGGGACGAGCTCGGCTCCCCAGCCGCCCCTGCCGCCACTCACCCGCGCCCGTCCGCTTGCTTTCCAGGCAAACTCTCCCTGGAAGAGTTCATCCGAGGGGCCAAGAGCGACCCGTCCATAGTGCGCCTCCTGCAGTGCGACCCCAGCAGCGCCGGCCAGTTCTGAGCTGCACCCGCGAGTGCAGAGCTGCTTGTGTTCCCCTCGATGTTTCTTTTCCAATTTTTTTTTTTTTTTTTTTTT